CATTGTTAGTCCCCTGTCTAAAGAGTAACTGTAAATCACTTTGAGCCCACTTGTGGGGAAAGCGATTAATAAATCGAAAGCATTATTATTATTATTATTATTATTATTATTATTATTATTATTATTATTATTATTATTATTATTATTAAGCATAGCTTGATACCCAGAAGCTCCAGGTTTTAGCAACAGATGGAAGTAACACTGGCTGTGTTCTCTAGGGCACATCCTCAATATGAAGATCAACTGAGTCCCCTGCATCACATTAAGGTCCAGTGGCAGATGTGGAACAACTTCCCTGAAGGGAGAAAGCCTGACAACCTCTGCTCTATAGCCTTCCAGGCTGGAGCCACATAGTCAAGTGCAGTATAACACAGATAAACCACAGTGTTAACGTCCTAAAACACTAGCATATCTGTTTATTTAATCTTTTCATTCCACTCTTCAGAAAAGACTCAAAACTCCTCATAGTGATGACCAAATGGGCTGTTGACCTGGCGTGCAGCAAGCCAAAAAACCACACCCAAGGACTCCGCTTACGAGCTTTATTCGGATAAAGGGGAACTGACCAAAACAGCCAAGTGTTTCAAAACTCACTGTCACAATTATGTTCTTTTATACCTCGCACTGACACCAACCTTTGTTCTGATTGGTTACAATATTTCAACATGTACACATTCCTTCGATATAATCATTGCCTTTTGTTCTTTACTACTAATTCATACTCCCTATAGACTTTTACTACCGTACATTCAGTTTCCCATCATTATCTTAATACATCCTTCAGGCGTCCCTTATTCATCTTGCTAATTTGCCCTCATTGATTACCTTCCAAGGTACTTATGCATTTATTTACCCCTATGGATATTCTCAGAGTTAAATCATTCTTCAGAGTTGTTTTACCTCTTCTTCCTCAGAGGACATTCCAATCTCCTGGCCACCTGGCACCTTGCATATTTTATAAGCCATCATCACTATGCTTATCTATTACTTTTCCAGTATGTCCCACAATAGTATTGAAAAGCTAATACAAATTACTAAGTTTGATAGGAGATATTTCCTGGGAAGGGATATCTCAGCTAGACCTGGATCCAAGACTTGGTGAAAGAATGCTTGAATGCTTCCTGCCCTCCTCTTTGAGTTTCCCTTTTGAATATATAAGATAAGGAGCTGCTGTTTGGGGTTAAGAAAATATTGTTTTCCTTACAGTGCAGTCTTACACAGTTACTTTCACTGCCTGCTTAGTTTGCACTGTTAGTATTTTTATAAGCTTTGAGTTAGGGGTGCCTAACAACCATTTATGCAGGTGGTATTGTCCCCTAATAATATTTTGCGTGTATACAGCTGAAGGCAGCACCCCCAGGGCACTGAGCTTCTATGACTTGTGTAGCTAGCTAACTGAAGTCACACAATGAGAGACATCCAGGCAGCAAAAGGGTAAAAAAAAAAGTTTTATTCAAATAAGGGACAACATACAGCCAAAAGGTTTAGCTCAGATGTCCACTGAGCGCCAATTGTGTTCCAACTTTTATACCCTAGGTTCTCCTCTCCATTTTACATCATCCATGACCTCATTTACACATGCATATTTCGATTTCTTTGTCTCTAACATCCATTAATCTTACTTTTGACAAACAAGATATTTCTGGCTTTCTTTCAAGTTTCATCCATAGGTGTCTTGTCAAAAACTCCTTATTAAAAGTGAAATATGGTAGTTTCTTGGACAAATAAACTTCTGCTTGGCTATGTTCCCAGTCTTTCCCATCTCTAAAAACCTACTGGCTTAAATTCATAGTATAAGCAAAAATTAACTTTCTCTGCTATTAATATAGTGTTTTTCTGTTAACACATGCATACATATGAAATACAAATGCTTGTTTATACTTTTTTATAAACCTTTCTTGTAAAATATATAGACAAATTTACTGTTAATTCCATTTTAGAAAAATCAAACTCCTTACTTCTAATGGCCACTTGTATAGAAAATATAAATTCTACTGCTTCTTCTAATTAACTAAATTGTCAAAAGCTAATGAATTATTACTTGTTAAAATACTCCTTGTTTGATAAAGATATCTCTAATAATGAACATATGTTCATTAATTCCTGTTGGAAACATCTTGGCTACTTTTCAATCTTGCTCTGATAATTGGCTAAAGATAACCTCTGCTTGTTAAAATAAGTGCTTATTATAGCTTGATTTTGAATCCTTGTTTCACAGCTGTGCATCAATAAATATGTCATAGTCTGGCTAATAAGTAAAGCTTCCTCATTAGAGAAATAAGAGACAGTGTTAGCGCCTTATTAAAATTTCTAGCTACCTTTCTTTTCCACAAACATTCAGGAATATAAAAGATCCATACAATCTTTAAACAACAGTTATTCTCAGCTATAAACGAAATATTAAAAGTTGTTGTGGCGTCCTCTCTTTTGGGAAGGACTGTATTTCTCTTTAATATTTATATTTTGTGTTTACAAAATAAGTAGTTCCAGCTGCTACCAGGAATTTTAATAAATTCCAAATCCCCTCTTTGCTTCTGGTGTTGGTATTGTGACCCAGGGTCTAGCCTTTCAAGGATCTAGGTGGTCCTGAGGAAGAATTGATATAACTTCTGGGATATATTTAAATAAAATAGGATTTATTGAAAGAGGAACAAAATAAGACGTTGGTTATTATGTAACTGGCTGGGAATAAGGTTCTTGTAAATATATTTGTCAACTGTATCACACACACTGTCAGTTTTAGTCCTTAAGATTCCACCCTGACAGGAATCTCTCACTTAGGCGACCACACAGTTTAATCTCTTGGTAAATTTAACTTCTTTAAGAACTTCACTATTGAAGACATATGCTGCTTTCTCTCAGATCCCACACAGAACTAACTGAACTCTCACTGACTGAACAACATCACCTGAACAAATCCAACTGACTTTCATAATTTTTCATAACTGACTAACTGACACACAAACACAGATTCCTTCAAAACCCCTCCCACACTCTGTTATCCACCAATCACAGCACAGTTATCTCTCAATCATTCTACTCTGCTATCATCACACTTCAACCAAGCATTTAAAGGCACACACACTCTCTTAAAACAAGGAATTGTTACAGTTGTATTTAACTTTTGGAAGCATACAACAAATAAGAAAGAGGGGTTTGCCAAACTCAGATCTCTGTTGTAGAGAGCTGCAGCTGTGTTCCTACTCAATACATCTTTCCAGCCTCATCTTGACATCTCATTAGGAATAAAGGATCTCTCAACTAATTATCAAATTCCTTCTTCTGGGCTTCTTGCCAGCTCATTAATTGTGATGGAAACCAGACCTGTTATACCTTCTTTGCTTGTTGCTAACTTTTCCCAGGGAGCTTCAAACATTTTGGGATTAATGGAATAAATAAGCAATAGACTAGCATTCAAACCTCTGAGCTTCCTCTACACAGCATTTAACAACAGGCCTCTAAGGTGGTGGGGGGGGCAATATTACTATTCCCATATTAAAGATGAAGGCTATGGCTGAAAGACAGTGGCTTGCCTTGGGTTTGTGGGAAAGCCAAGATCTGAACCGTGGACTCCCAGATCACATCTGACTCTCTACCGTAGTTGCCACTGCTATGCTATACCAGTCCTCCTACAGGACTTGACCTGAATAGGGCTTATATCACAAATGCATAGAAATCCTGCTAGGGCTTATTTGGGGGGTAGGTCTTATTTTCGGGAAAACAGGGTAGTTGCTACTGCTATGCTATACCAGTTCTCCTACAGGACTTGACCTGAGATTTTACAGTCACCTTAGTTGAGGTCTGAGGAAAGATGGGTCACAGATGGCAGGAAAGAGTTGAAAAACAATGCATATTTCATTTTACAAAAACAGTCTCATTTTGGAGTTACACAAAAGTATCATGTTGCAAATGGCATCTTACCATACTAATATTTGAATCAGTTATCCATCCTTGGACACTCAGCGATTTAATCAGCTTATCTTTGATGTTGGGAGGCAAGGGCTTAATATCTGCAGCATATCTGGAAATATTCTCTGTTAAGCAGTAAAGGCATCTGAGGGGGAAGAAAAGGAACAGAAGAACAATGGTGACACACTTTGCTGGCATCTGTAGAATGATTAAGATTAATTAATTTATTTAGGAGATTTTTATGCAGCCTCTTCCAAGTCCTGCTCTTAGACAAGAGGCAAGGGAACTGTCATTTTATTTTACATCATCTAGCACACAGTGAGGTGCTTTAAAAATAGTAAGTACATTTTGGTCTGTTCAATTATTGACAAACTTTGGCCTAATACTAGTTTATTATCTATGAGGTCAAGAGGCCCTAGACAGCCTTACCATCAACAATAAGGGCTAAGGAGCCTCACAAACTGATAATTTATATGTTTAGACTCAGGCCTGGTACTGTTGTCTCCTGGTACATTAACTATGCTCATATGCCAAGGGCATATGCAGGGCAATGCTTACTTGAAATAATATAGCACTAGCTGGATTGCAAAGCTTTGTGGGATACTGAACTAAAGAAAAGATGGTAAGGCTAATTTAATATGCTAGTTAAGAAAAAGGCCTAGTCTCAGTTATGTGTAATTTTTGCCAGAGGAGACACAGTTCCTTGAGGGATGGTTTGCCCAAGACAGCAATCTGCACCTAAAAGAAAACACTGGGCATGCTCAAGTGCATGAACTTCGTTCATCTGGGCCACTGGCAAGCAAAATCTGCTTGGCCTTCCATGAACTAAGTGATTATTGATGTGTTGGTCTGAAGCAGCAGAACAAAGTTTGAGTGCCACTTAGTGTTCCCCCTAAGCTGAGTTAGTGTGAGCTAGCTCACAGTTTTTTAGCCTCTGGCTCACACATTTTTGTCTTAGCTCAGGAAAGATGGCTCCAGAGCAAACTAATTTCTACAGCAGTCAAATTACTCACTCACAACTTTAATGTTAGTAGCTCACAAAGTAGAATTTCTGCTCACAAGACTCCACAGCTTAGAGGGAGCACTGGTGCCAATGGACTCAAACTTTGTTCTAAGTAGGTATTGTGGAACATACCTAAGAATCCTCTGCAATATGCCAAGCTTCTGCAACAGGCATATAGAGGTTGCTCCACAGACAAATTCATTGTGAATGAGAATTGCAAAAGCAGAAATTGGGAAGGAAAAACTCCCACACGCTCAGGCAACTACATTTGCACACCACGGAGAACAGGAGTTTGATCAAGGGCTTCCCAAACCAGAAGCCTTACATAGTACTCTGTGAGCAAAGACAGGTGGGGTATGTGCAGAGAAAACGGGGTGTGTGAGCAAGACACACGAATTGAATTTATGCCCATTCTCGGCAACCTCTGTTTGTCATGACATGTGAATGTATGAACTCCTGAGTTATACCAGTATAGGCTATTCTTATAGGGGAGAGGCCACGACTCACTGTGTGCGTTCAGACGCGGCGTTTCAGCCGGCATAAACTGTACCGGTTGGAACCGGTGCAGTTTATGCCGGCTGAAACCCAATCACACTTACCTCCATTTTGCGGCTCCCAAAACTGGCCTCCCTGAAGTCCCGGACTCCTCCGGATAGTTAAAGTAAGGGCTTTTTTTTTTTTTTTAAACAAACGCTCAGGGCGAAGCTTTGCCCAAGCGCATATTGCTCAGTTTAAAAAAAAATGGTGCGGGAAAAATGGAAGCCTCAGGCTTCCGAAGGAAATGCCTAGACACCCGTGGAGAGCGATCAGACGGAGGGGTACATCGAAAGCAACCGTTGCACTCAGTATACCACCACTTGGGGACCTAGTGGCAGAGTGCAACGGTTTAAAGGGATTTACAACAGTTAGGGACGGGAGGCAGATGTTCGCCGTCTGAACGCCGGTAAGTACACCGGTTGGAACCAGCACCTATACCGTTGTAAATCCCCCGTCTGAATGCACCCACTGGCATGCAGAAGGTCCCAGGTTCAATCCCAGCATCTCCAGTTTTAAAAAGGACCAGGTAATCTGAAAGTGTGAAGGGAGTTTCAGAACTCTAGTACAACTCCCCCTTTCCCCAAGTCTAATCGGGGAGAGAAAAGATTAACTGAAGGCTTTTGGCTCGAGCTTGAGTGCCCATGTCCCACTAACAAGCTGCCATCCAAAGCACATACAAAGTTCTTCTTTTATAGGATAATAGATTCAGGTGGGTAGCCATGCTGATCGGAAGCAATAGAACAAAGTTTGAGTCCAGTGGCACCTTTAAGACCAACATTTGACACTCCTAAGAGGGACATAAGGAAAACAAACTCTCTACACTTTCCCCTGAAAGATAAGAGATGGCATAGACCAGGGGTGTCAAATTCATTTGTTATGAGGGCCAGATCTGACATAAATGAGACCTTGTTGGGCCAGGCCGCGTGTGTCATAAAATGTAATGCCAGGTAGCGGAGATATAAACTTTATAAAGGACACAAACAAAGGGTTTTTTTTTACTTAAAATAAAAATATGCTTAAAAGATTAGCACTTGCAATATTTTGTTTAGTTAACAGTGTCTGATAACTGACACCTCTTGCTCTGAATTACTGCATCAAAATGTCTGTGCTGTTGCAATCCTGAGTATGCTGTTCAGGTGTGTATTGGTAAGCTGCAAACATATGATGACATAGCAGCAGCAGAACGGGAAGTAGAAGCAGAAGACAGCCAGTTCCACTGCGGGCCTGAGAGAAGCCTTCCCGGGGCCTAACCTGGCCCTCAGGCCGCATGTTTGACACCCCTGGCAGAGACCCTTGACTGACATAAGGTTACTTAGGGATCAGGAGATCAAAGAATGGGTTTTGGTTAAGGGTGAAAGGAAGGGCAGGAACATCTTCAAATACAGCAAATCAATCTGAAACAAAACGGACCGAGCTTAGGCTCACTAATCAAAGTAATTGCTAGGTTCTTAAGTCTTTGCTAAATTCCTAATAGTGAAATAAAATACTTTTAACAGAAAGACCTCAGGCTGAGACCTTCCAGAGCTGCTGCCAGATGAGTTATCATCACTTGAAAATCTCTTTTAATAGACGCTTAACCCATTAACAGATTGCCAAATGATCAGAGGGGGGGGGACTCAACCTGGCCTGATCCTGTGCCTTCAACAACAGCCTCAGGAATCAGCAAGTGAAGCTTTTCACTGCCAGAAACACTCCCCCTAGTTTAATCAGGGGCTTGCAGATCAGATTCTCTTTAAATTGTAGGTGAAGAGTTGGTAAAAGGAGTCAGCAGTTCTCATGAAGTAAGACCACAGCAGTACCTATGTGTATGTGTGTTACCTGCCCTCAAGTTGCTTCTGACTTATGGGGGACTTACTTTCTAGTAAATGTAATCATGATTGACAGCCTCCTGACTGAAAGCCAACTCTTGGCCAGAAAACTCACTTCATATCCCACAAGTGGGTGGCTGTATTTAATTCAGGGGTGGGCTTGGAGGGTGGAGAGAGACAGTATGGCTTTCCCTTGTAAGGGTATGAGGAGGCCGATTCAATTTCAGCTCTGCATATGCATCTTGGCTGAGTGGCCCCTCCTAAGGGCTGCCCCACCTTCTTTTCCCCCTATAAATAGCCCTTGAGGAGAATTCATTCCAATCTGTCTCAAGAAGTGTGCTTTGCACACAAAAACTTACACTTTGAATAAAACTTTGTTGGTCTTAAAGGTGCCACTGGACTCAAAACCTTGTTATGCTGCTTCAACCAACAGGTCTTGCCCCCCTGAATTTTTCCGTATGACGACCTGTGAAACTTTGGGGACTTGCCTATCCCACTTCAGTTTTATCCTACCCAAAGAGCTCTGAGCAACCTATATGGCTTTCCCCGCTTTCACTGTGTTCTCACAACAACCCCGCGAAGCAGGTTCAAAATCATCCAAGATCAGCGGGGATTTGAAGACAGGTCTCCTCAGCTCGGCACAACCACTGTACCGCACACTGACACAAAAAACCTCATCGCTGGATAAAATCTGCAGATTAAGATGCTGTTCAAAAGGCAGAATGACAAAAATCGGCCAAAGCCTCTTTTCAGAGGATGGGGCGGGGGATGCTCTCTCTGCACACACTCAGAGGCACTCCTCCTGTCGCTTTGTATCTATGTTGCCAGGGCTGAGTTCGGGCCAAAAATTTAATTTTGGTGCGCTATGCCAAATATTGTTAGCCGCCCTGAGCCTGTTGCGGAGGGGGGGCATAAACTGGCAACTGGGGCGACGAGAGGGAACAGGGCACAAAGGAGAGGCAGGAAGGCGTGAATTGTGGCTCCGGGGACGCCTGTCAGTGAGCCCGCCCGCAGCACCGGACACTCACAAATCCAGGAGGGACCCAACTGCCCCGCCGTCCCCGCTCAGGTGACTCATCGCCGGGCCCGGGCAGCTCACTCGGCTCCTCTCTTCTCAGGCCGGGGGAATCGGTTACTCTCGGGGACCGTCCATGAACACCGAGCGCCGCACAGCGTTCCTCGCCCCTTGTTTTGAAACGGAACTCGTCCGTTTACTGCGCTAAGGAAACACCTTAGGAATTTGTGGAGCGTCCCTAAACATGGGAGCGGAGCCTATCGGGAGATGTAGTCTTTGACGTGCTGAGCCTGTTTATGTTTAAGGAAGGGTGAAAAGGCGAGGGGAGGCGCGGGAGAACGGCTGTTTTGCCGGCGGGTTTCCGTCAGTTCTCATCTTCCCCACCCAAGCCGACAAGATTTCAACTACTGTCAAAATAAGTCGTGCCTTTAGAGCATTTATATACACTTCCTCCCGGCTCAGACAGTAAAAATAAAACAATAAAATCATAGAAAGAACAACTGTCAATGTTAAAATAGCCCGTGGCGATAACAGCAGCAGAAAACATTCAGCCGTATAAAATGAGATCACAGAACAGTCTTCAGGGCAGAAGCGGGTTGCAGTAAATCAGATTAATTTTCTATTAAACGTTCTTGGAGCTATTAAAGAGGGTTCCTGTGTCAATTTATGTCACTTACACAGCATAGGGAGCTGCGGTGGCTCAAGTGGTTAAGACGCTGAACTGCAGGCTGTGGAAGGTCAGTAGTTCAGCAGTTCGAGACCCGAGTTGCTGCATAATGGAGTGAGCTCCCATCTCTAGTTCCAGCTCCTGCCAACCTAGCAGTTTGAAAGCAAGAAATTGCAAGTACATAAATAGGTACCACTTCGGTGGGAAGGTAACAGCCTTCCGTGTGCCTTGGTGTTTAGTCATGCCGGCCACATGACCACGGAAACATCTTCGGACAGCGCTGGCTCTTCGGCTTTGAAATGGAGATGAGCACTGCAACCCTAGAGTCGGATTTGACTGGCTTTCGAGCAAGGGAACCTTACCTTTACCTTTAGACAGCATACGGGATAAAGTTGCCAACCTCTAGATGGGTCCTGGAGCTCTCCCAGAATTACAACTGATCTCAACTACAGAGATTAGTTCCTCTGAAGAAAGTAGCTTTGGGGGAGAGACTGTATGTAGGGTTGCCAACGTCCAGGTGGTAGTTGGAGCTCTCCCACTATCTCCAGCCAACAGAGATCAGTTAACCAGGAAAAAATGGCTGCTTTGTAGTCCTAATTCTATGGCATTATACCCCATTGAAGTTCCTCCCCTCACCGCACCCTATCCTTCTGAGGCTCCATCCCCAAAATCTCCAGGTATTTCCCAACCCAGAGCTGACAACCCTAATTACAGCATTATACCTTGCTCATTATACCTTACGAACACCCTGTTTCCACAATCAGATAGGCAACACCGGAATCTGATTGATTATGTCATTTGCAGTCAAAAATGAAGAAGGTCTATACAGTCAGTAAAAACAAGACCTGGAGCTAACTGTGGCTCGGATCATGAGCTACTCATTACAAAATTCAGGCTCAAACTGAAGAAAGTAGGGAAAACCACTAGGCCATTCAGGTTTGACCTAGATCACATCCCTGATGAATATACTGGAGGTGAAAAATAGGTTTAAGGGACTAGATTTGATAGACAGAGTGCCTGAGGAACTATGGATGGAAGTTTGTGACACTGTACAGGAGGCAGCAATCAGCACCATCCCAAAAAAAAATAAATGCAAGAAAGCAAAGTGGCTGTCTGATAAGGCTTTAGAAATAGCTGAGGAAAGAAGGAAAACAAAAGGCAAAGGTGAAAAGGGAAAGATTTACCCAACTCAATGCAGATTTTCAGAGAACGACAAGGAAAAATAAGGAAGCCTTCCTGAACGAACAATGCAAAGTAATAGAAGAAAACAATAGAATGGGCAGGACTAGAGATCTCTTCAAGAAAATTGGAGAAATCAAGGGAACGTTCCATGCAAAGCTGGCCATGATAAAGGACAAAACCGGTAGGGACCTAACAGAAGCAGACGAGATTAGGAAGAGATGGCAAGAATACACAGAAGAACTATACAAGAAGGACCTCAATGTCCTTGACAACCACAACGGTATGATCACTGACTTCGAGCCAGACATTCTGGAGTGAGAAGTCAAATGGGCCTTAGAAAGCTTTACTAACAACAAAGCTAGCGGAGGTGATGGTATCCCAGCTGAGCTATTCAAAGTTTTAAAAGATGATGCTGTTAAAGTGCTGCACTCAATATGCCAGCAAATTTGGAAAACGCAACAGTAGCCACAGGATTGGAAAAGGTCAGTTTATATTCCAATCCCAAAGAAGGGCAATGCCAAGGAATGTTCAAACTATCGCACAACTGCACTCATTTCACATGCTAGCAATGACATGCTCAAGATCATACAAGCTAGGATTGTAGTTCTCTATCCACGGCTTCAGCAGTACATGAATAGAGAACTGCCAGAAGTACAAGCTGGGTTTCGAAGAGGTAGAGGAACTAGAGATCAAATTGCCAACATTTGCTGGATTATGGAGAAAGCAAGGGAGTACCAGATAAACATCTACTTCTACTTCATTGACTATGCTAAAGCCTTTGATTGTGTAGATCACAACAAACTATGGCAAGTCCTTAAAGAGATGGGATACCCAGACCACCTCACATATCTCCTGAGAAACAAAAAGCAACAGTTAGAACCAGATATGGAACAATTGATTGGTTTAGCATAGGAAGAGGAGTACGATAAGGATGTATATTGTCACTCTGCTTATTCAATTTATATGCAGAGTACATCATGAGAAGTGATGGCCTGGATGAATCACAAGCCAGAATTCAGATTGCTGGGGGAAAGATCAACAACCTCAGATATGCAGACGATACCACTCTAATGGCAGAAAGTGAAGAGGACCTAAAGAGCCTCTTGCTCAGGAGGAAAGAGGAGAGCGCAAAAGTTGGCTTGAAACTCAACATCAAAAAAACTAAGATCATGGCATCCGGATCCATCACTCCTTGGCAAATAGAAGGGGAAGTCATGGAAGCTGCCGCCACTGGGGGGAGGAAGGGGGGAAGGAGAAGGCTGGGCTCACCTTCTGCCACGTCTCCTGCTTCTGCAAGCCAGGAGCTGTGGGGAATACTTCTCCCCCCCCCCGCAAGTAGGGTTGCCAAACCCTGTTTCTCCTTGTGGCGGGGGGCTCCCGGATGGCGTCCCGAGCATGCCGCATGCACGTCAGCTGGATGTGACATGATGACGCCGGGCACGCTGGGGGCGGGCAATGCCAAGGCTGATGTGCACGCTGGGGAGGGGTTCAGTAGTTCAGCAGTTCGAGACCCGAGTTGCCGCATGACGGAGTGAGCTCCCTCTCTAGTTCCAGCTCCTGCCAACCTAGCAGTTTGAAAGCAAGAAATTGCAAGTAGATAAATAGGTACCACTTCGGTGGGAAGGTAACAGTGTTCTGTGCGCCTTGGTGTTTAGTCATGCCGGCCACATGACCATGGAAATGTCTTTGGACAGCGCTGGCTCTTCGGTTTTGAAACAGGGATGAGCACCGCAACCCTAGAGTTGGACTCGACTGGCTTTCGAGCAAGGGAACCTTTACCTTTATGACCTCATGCCCTCTGACTGTCACACATCATACACCTTTTCGTTCAGTGGCATTGCCTGTTCCAAAGCCCGGTTCTTGGGCCAGCTGCTCCAAAGTGGGGTGCCCCCAGGACAATTGCACAGGCAGACACTGGGGCCAGGCTGCACCCCAAAACAATCTTTGGACTACCCCAAGCAACACATCCCCACACTCCAGAGACTGTCCCCTGCAAGAAGTCATGCATCCAGGGGTCACTCCACTTTGGAGCAGCTGACACAAGAACTGGGCTTTGGACCAAGAAAAGCCATATGTCCCCTTGAAGGAGAGAGTTCCCTGAACATGAGGGCGTATGACATGTGGCAGTCCAAACCTTATTCTGAGGTGCAAAGGGCAAGCAGTCAAACCAGTTACTTATTCAAATCTCCTTTGAAACAGAGGCCTCTTGGTGGTAACCCAAATAGGAGCTTGTGGTGCCAGAACCAGTGTTTGGATCGGGCACCATGATATGTCTTCTTGCAGGGGACAGTCTCCAGAGCATGGTAATGTGTCATTTGGGGTGGTCCACAGATTGTTTTGGGGATACAGCCAGGCCCCAGTGTTGGCCTGTACGATTGTCCTGGGGGCACCGCACCACGGAGCAATTGGCACAAGAATTGCTCTTTAGACCAGGAAACAGCATATACCTTCTCAAAGGGGAGAGTCGCATGAACCTGGGAGTGTATGGTGTGTGGTGGTCCACACCTTATTTTGGGGTTCAGAGCTTTCAAACTCTCCTTAGTGTTTTTGTCTGAATTCATTAATAAGTCGTGAACAAGAAACAAATAAGGAACTGGGAACCAGGAATCAGCTTCATCCTCATCTCAGAAACAGCATTTTCTCTGAGATAGGAGACCCTCTACCAGTATAGGAAAGGTAGGGTTTAGGCCTTATATGAAAGGTGCATCCTGTCTAACAGTTGAGATAAGCTTATCTAAGGGAGTCAGCCATGACTCAGCCATCTGAATCAACAACTCCAGGAGACTGTTAACAGACACCAACAGCCTTTGGAATGTGTAGGAGTCCACAGTAGATATTTACTCAGAAACCTTAAGTTTCGGTTCTGGCTACCACGATTGCACATGCTCAATGCTATGTAACAGTCAAAAAGAGTAGGAGTCCAGTAGCATCTTAAAGACTAGCAATATTTGTGGTAGGGTATGTAAGACAGAAACTCCGTCACGGGTTGTGCTTCCCCAGCCAAATTTGAGAAAGCACTTGGCAGTCTTGTAGAGTAGAATCCAGACTAAAAAAAACTTTATTAATAAAGGAGGGAAGCACGGGTTCAACAAGATTTTGGATCCCACAGCATTCCCTAAGGTTACAATGGGAGACATACGATTTTATACCCCATATGACGCTTACAAATAAATCATAATTATTGGTTCCATCAAACTTTGTCACATATCCATCACACCATTCTGATTGGGCCCGAACCTATGGGTTGGATTTTCACAGGCAAAAATGTACC